ATTTAAGGATTTAGTTGGGTGATCGACGGGATAACAAGCCTGTCTTTTGGAAAAAGGGGGCTTGAAAACCTGCTCCTTTTGTTGCCTTCATACACCTTAAGAATTTTAAAAAGCCATTCCTCCGAGAATAGAGAGAAATCTGAAATAAATGTAGGGCTTGCTAGAAAGTCAATCCCGCCACAGTCAGCGGGACCTGAAGCTCCGGATGAAGTACAGGAGCGTAGCTCGAAAGCACGTTTTGCATGCAAGGTTTCACGGCGAGTCAAGGAAATCCCGTTCGAAGAATTGGTGTAGCTCTGGAAAATCCACGCGCGCGCACACACACACGCACACACACTAGGATCTGAGCGCTGTGACAGGCAGAACTCTGACGAGCGGGGGCCCGTCAGGACCCGCCAGCAGTTCGCGTGAAACTGACACGACCAACGTGCGAGTCCGTCTCGGCGGAGCCTCAAGCAGCCATGCCCCGATTCGAGGCACGCATCCCAGCGCCCCTGCTCTTCCAACAGACCGCGTTCGCCTGAAGGAGCTGAGGTGGAAGTTGACCAGGGCCAGCTGCCGGCCGTCTGGAGCCCTGCGTGCTTTTATTTTAATGATGTCAAACAAGCAAAACAAGGCGCTGGTTCTAGAGGAGAAGCTCGTTGAGTTCGCAGCCAGGCCAAATGACAGCCATTTGGCCACGATCGAGGGGTAACTATCGAGGTGAAGACGCCGAAAGCAACAAGCGAAGGAAACTTTGCAAGTTTCTCTCCAGGCTCAATAGGGTGAACGTGTTGGCGGATTTTTTTAAGTGTACAATGGGGGGACGAGAACGACTTCTAAGGGATTCGGAATGGCTGCTGTTTCCCGCCCCCCTTCAAGCATTTCCACGGCGGCTGCCGCTTTCTGAGAGAAACAGATTAGGGAGGAGAAGTTTGCAGAACTGGGGGAGGAGGGAGCCCGTTGCACCGTCGCAAACACGGCACGGGAAGCCAACGACAGGCTCCGGGCGCGCCGAGGTTTGTTCCGCACGCGCCACCGTAAACGCCAGGCAAGCGTGCATGGGTCGGAAGGCATGGGGAGCGGGGGCAGCGGGCGCCCACATTTTTTAGGCTTCTTGGAGGGGAAGGAGGGAGAGATCAGCTTGTTGCGTCTCAGCGCTTCGAACAAAGAGGGCCACTCAAATGCGCGGAGCCCCAAACCGGCTCGCTCTCGCTTTCCAAGGCGCGCCCGCCTTAAACTGACCAACCCTAAGGAGAAAACGGCGACGGAGGTGTCCTTCCGTTCCTCTGGGATTTCCCGCCGCCGGGGTTAAGTGCATGCAAAGCGACTTTCCTCCTCGTCCTCCTGCTCCCCCGCCCCTCCGCCGGTCATCTTTTCCCTGCACAACCTGCCCTAGCAAATCAAGGGGGTCCGCTCCCTCCTGCAGGTCGTCTCCGCCGCGGCTCTCTCCCCTGGCAACCTCTCGCGTGCTCCCCCCGCCCGCACGTTGTTTTTAAAGGGCCG